AATAAGAAAACGATTGTTTCTTCTAACTGACTTAGTATTCAATGGTTTATGCCAACAAGCATTATGATTATACGGTACATAGAGCACTACAAAAGTTTTTTCGCCCGGCTCTTCTAAAAGTCTCAGTTTGCATTCAAGTATTCCGTTATAATGCTTAGATATATTTAGGAATATGTGCGAAATTTCAGATTTCTAAGTCTTGTACTTTGCCGTAATCTGCCATTCCTTTTATATGAGTAAATACCCATTTCTTATACGCTACATAACGGATGACTTCTAATAAATGACAGAACTTTGAATTTCATATTTTGATCCTTAAAAACATTTTATGAAAAAAAGAACGAAGTATACCAGAAGATGTAGCGTAAAAAGCTCTACAATCTACTGTATATAGATTATCTTGATTATGTATCTTTCCTTTGAAAATAGGTAGTACTCTGAGTAACCAATTCTCGACGCTGCGATAAGTAGCTCAGAGAATTTTGATTTTATTTTCAAAATAAATAAATGTGGAAACTTCGGATTTAAATCCGAGAGTTATGTGTACTTCAAAAAGTGAATGAGACAGATGAGTCATCTTAGAGTGTGTGTACATAAAAATTATCCTGGTAAATCTTACCTACAAACACTTGATTTCTATTGGCTACTGTCCAACCAATGACATTTCGAGGCGAATGGAACACAGATTCGAATTCTCCACCCCAGAAAACCTCGAACTATCATCTCTGTGATCGGAAGATAGAGCTCTAATTGTAGATCACATAGAGCGTGGACGAAAACAGAACCGAGTTCCGTTTAATTATCTGTGCAAAATAGGTGAGTTAGCTTTCTTGTTTCCTTATGTTTTATATACCATATTGTAGCTCGTGAAATTCTCTATCGAATGGTATATAATAGTTGGGGTTTTATTTGACTATGATAGGAAAAGTTTTTTACGAAAGCGGAGATAGGTCGATCTTCTCATAGGGAAGCATAGGGAAAAATGACTATTTTTGCAATAACTCATCAATGGCTCGGACAATCATTCTCATCTTCGAACTCGACCGAGATATTGTTGAGACTAAACTGTGTAGAAAATTTCATCGCGATCGGACTCTCCTTTCGAAAGTTATCGTGTAAACGGCCGGCCGGTCGGCCGGACATACTGACCGATTCTAGAGTGTACTCACTTTTTGAGTACACAAAAAGACATATTTTAAATAAAACTGTTGTTTACAAATTGTAGAGCTTTTCACGCTGCATCTTTCCACATGTTCTGTTTTTTGAAAGGAAAACATATTGGGTGATAAAAGGACGAAATATGAAAAAAGGAAGCATTCGTTTGTATAGGTTTTTTATATCCTAGAAAATTTCTCTCTCACAATTTTGCTTTTTCTTAATCAAAAAAAATTGCATATATAATATTAACTGTTCTTTGTAAATTATAGAGTTTTTCACACTGCATCTTGTGGTGTATTTTGTTTTATTTTAAATAAAACGTATCAGGTAATAAATAAGAAACAATTACGTTTGTCGCATAAGAAAAAAAAATACTTTTTTGCAACGTCAAATTTTGATCGTTTAGAATTTTGTCAATTTTCAAAATAAATATATGCGATTGTAAAATGGTTGTCTTTTGTAATTTGTAAAGCTTTTCACGGTGCATCTTGTGGCATGTTTTGTTTTTTTCTTTAATAGAGTATATCAGGCGAATCAAAGATCAAATAAGAAAAAAACGAATTCGTCTTTTATCAAACAAATATTGTTTTCGCAGCATCGAAATTTGATTGCTCAGAAGTTTATCGACTTTTTAACACAGAAAATGCAAGTGAAAAATTAGTTGTGCTGTGTAGATTATAGAGCTTTTCACACTGCATCTTCTGGTATATTTTGATTTTTTTGATAAGACATATTTAGGAATCAAAAAATGAAATGCAAAGTTCTTCTATTTACGATGGATTATCTGTTAGCAGGTTGTGTGCACCTACCATAAAAGCGATGACGGACTACAGCGAGCTGCAAGACGTAGAAGTCTGAAACTTTGTACATAATCCTAAATATATCTAAACATTATAACAAAATACTTAAACTCGAGCCACGGCTTTTAGAACAACCGGGCGAAAAAACTTTTGTAGTGCCCCACGTATAAGTAAAGGTGAACTGTTTTTTTTTATAGGAGATATAGTATCAATCAGTATTATTGATTTAGCAATATTCAATAAAAAGAAAAGAAATAAACTTGTTATGAGCAATGTTTTTAATCAGAAAATGTCTAACAATAATGAAGACGAAATAATAAATGATGAAAATTGTAAAAAAGAATATGAAGAATCGTTATTTAATTTAGAAATTGATGGTAAAGAGTGGGGACGTCGGTATGAGGTTTCTTTACCCAGCCCGTCACACCCACCCTATTGTTCGACTTCGGAATAAAATCGATTCTTTTGCGAAGAATGCCGATAACGTTTGAACCGTATGGAATGAATATCTGTGGTTAATCTAGAATTGTAGATCTTGAGCTGGGCTATCGATCTCAGTATTTAAAAATTAAAATTCATTGTACTATTAAGAATTGAGAGCATCGTAAAGATTGCAAAGGAGTATATGCTATGCTAAATGTTGTGTAGATCTGATATTTGGCACTACTATGTGCCCTGCTATACTCTATCGAATGATGAAAGTCTATAATGTTTTCTTCAAAATTTATAGGCATTCTCTCGAACCGCCTTATTTTCAAAAATGGATGCTAGACATCATATATAGAATCATCATTAAAAGATAAACCAAAAGCTTTATATTTCATTTGTAGATGCGTAGAGGAAATATTTTCAGAATAAGAAGCTGATGAAGAGGAGAACAGCGATAGCTTTCATGATATATCTTACTATGAAACATTAGATTTTGGGTACATTTTTCCATCCACACTCTGACTATGATGTTTATTTTCCATCGAACTGACTTTTGAGGGTGAAACTCTAAATGTCCAAGATTTTGTTAAATATTTTTAGGTTGTGACGGTATTCGTAAGAGAGAAAGCTTAATAGAAAGGCATATCTATCCATTTCTTCGACTTTTAAACAAAGCAAATCATCTTTTCTTATACAGGGAAATAAATCAATAATTGAAATTCAATTGTTTTATTTAAATATTTATTTACACTTTAGTGAATAAAATATCTAGAAAAAATTATAGTTTAACAAATACAAAATATTTATACTGAAATTATGTTTAAAAGTATTTTTATATCAACATGTTTATCATCAAGCAGTATTAAGCTTTAATTATCTTATTAAGAATTTCCTTTGTCAAGATGTTTTGATAGGACATACGGTTAAAATTTGCAAACATGAATCAATGAAACAAACGGTTGTAAAAAACGTTGAACAGTGTTCACTTTTAGAAGATCAATTGAATATTTCAATCATTTAACGATATCTCTTTGTAATTTATATTACAAATATATATAATAATACGTTTTGTCCTACTTTCGCTTTTATTAGAGATTTTTATTTTGAACAAAAAATTAAGAGTTCTCAGAAATCGAATTTGAACTTTCTATTCTATTTGCATTAGGATCAATTGATGAAATCAAAATAGATACCCTAGTATCCTATGGGAGTATTATAACCTTAAGATCCATACATGATTTTAAATTTGAATACAATGAGAAACAATGGCTCCTAGAATATTCTTTCAAAGAGAAAAGAACTTCCTGTTAAAAGAAAGAAAATTCGTTCTCTGCTGTTTTCTATTTCTACTCTGATAAAAAACATTGCTCATAACAAGTTTATTTCTTTTCTTTTTATTGAATATTGCTATATCAATAATACTGATTGATATTGTATCTCCTATAAAAAAAAAAACAGTTCACCTTTACTTATACTAGGAAAATAACCAAATAAATATTCAAGATTAAGAACTATTTGCTGATTATGATAAAGAAAAGAATAAGTGACTCAACGTAAACAAAAAGCTTAATAAATAGTTAAGAAACAACAATTTTTCGAAATCTCATTAGATAATAATAAATAAATTGAAGTAACAACTAATAAAGCAATGAAAATATGTAGTTGATTTTAATAAAGACATATAAGAAATAACGGTTTTTATTGACATGGTGGTTCATTCCGTTATCTCTCTTTTTAATTAACGACGCATTTAGTCTGTTTATAATCATTATTATCATTAACTTATTTCCCTCGAATCATTGATGATAATTATATAGAGTTATGAAACCAATATATTTTTTTCTTATTATGCATTTACAAGTATTACAACAAAAATAAAGAGTGTTTTTTCTAGAAAAAATTATTGTTATGTTTTATAGCGTGAATATTCAATATATTGTTAAACATCATAATTTATTGATAATATCTATTGTATAATGTTCTTTTTAAATATGAAAAGATAGTTGTAATTGACTATCTATTAAACCGACAATTGATTTATACGTTAATTCATTCTGTCATGTACTATTAAGAAAGGGTTACCGGAATCTCACCAATATGACTTTCACCAACTGGATATTCGCCAATGACAAATCTTCAATACATCCTCCGAGCTCTCGCGAATTGATGAATGTTCAGTTGTCGAAAGTCATGTTGGAGGAATTCTGGAACCCTTAAGAAAAAATAGTTACAGTTTATATAATAATTATTGATTTTTTTCTCTCTCATATTCTATTAGTTAATTTTATGTTAAAAAAAATAAAACATCAACTTCTTTTCTTCTTCTTTGCATAACACATTAATTATATGATAGAGACGAACAAATCTCATATAGTAAATATAATAATATTTTTTTTTAAAACTTTTTTCATTTCTAAAAGTTACATAAATTATTAATACCCGTTTGACCTTTAACTAATTTTATTCAAGAAAAAAGACAAGTTTTTTTTTTTTTATATTGACAAAAAAGCATATCCATACTAAGAACACATACAGTTTTTTTTTGACAAAAGTATCAATATTAAGATAAAAAAGAAAAACTTCTTTATATTGATAAAGTTATATTGACAATGACTATGACATGAGAATTTGGGACAGACGTCCATATTCAATCCATAATGGAAGATCATTATCATCAGCATTTTTTATCAGCAAATCAACTAAAATTGAACATGAATGAACGATGTCTACAATGAAACAATAACCTCTTACCTATTTCTGTCAGAATTTTTCGGACAAAATTTTTTTTTAATGCACTTGTTTCATTTTCATTTATATAATTCATTTGATTATTAACATAATTTAAAGAACGTTTTTTAAATGATGCATCAGCAATAATTTTAGCCAAATTTTTCATTTTTCCTTCATTTTTTACATGTTCAATATTATCAAAAATAACAGATATTATATCTTCTAATTGAGCAGTTTGATCACGTATTAATTCATCCACCATTTGAGAACCATCTTCAAACAAGATAATTTTCTTGATCATATTGTTAATCATTGACGACATATTTAAAATTACCTAAAATGATAATCATTTATATACATAAACAAACAATGCAAGAGAAAAGAATAGGCAGCCAACAAATTTATTTGATGACATTATCTATCAATTAGATCAACTCTGAGAATAACTGTCGTCCAGGGCTCGAAACAGGCCAATTTTTGATGGCCCAGCCCGGCCCATACCGGGCCAAGAATAGTTCATGCCCGCCCGGCCCAACCTCTTCTATATTAGAGCCCAGCCCGGCCCGCCCGGCCAATTAACCGTGCCCACCCGGCCCGGCCCGAATAACAATGGCACTATTATCATTATAGTTCTTTTATAAAGAAGGTTTTCACGTGACGGAACCCAATATCACTGGATTTAGAGATGGTTATTTCTCCTTGATTTATTTTAATTTTAAACTTGTTGAATTTTAAATGAAGTATAGATTTGAACGTTGAAGAGTTAAATAAATTTTAAATTTGATTTATTTATATGAATTTCAATAAGTGAAATTTAAAATAAATTTAACTTTTTGGATGTCAGAACTTAAACTAATTTTAAATGTAAATTTACAAATTTACATTTAAAATAAATTTAAACTCTCGTACCTGAAAACTTAAATTTATTTTAGATTTAGATTTTTAAAAATTAATTTTTGGACTTATTAAGTTTTTATAAATGCAAAATTGATCATCCCTACACTGTTGTAATTTTTCAAATCATGATAAGAACGTTACTTATGATCATGATGATCACGACTTGAATAAGGTTAGACAATTCTAAGTCTTCAAAAAAGGCTGGTAGATAAGTCGAATTACTTACTGAATCAATAGAGTGAGATGAATTCATCGACACTTCAACTTCTGGAATACTGCTATTTATTAGCACGAACCTCACAGAAGTGAAACACCAACTGGTCAAATTCAATAAGTCACATGGGTTGGTATTTCTACTTTCTCTACTAATTTTAGTATACAGCTAAAACTGTTCCACTTAAATACTGTTTATGTGCCTTAATACAGTTAATAGTTCACTCCATTTTCTCTGTGAATGAGGTGTTATCATACTGAATAAATACTTTGTTTTCATTTATTGCCTAAATGAAATTTCCAAAGAGTTCGCATGGTGAAGCTTCTTGATCGTTAACAATCCTGAGATGTACAACTCATGTAAAAAAATGTCAATGAAAAACTTAAATAAACCGATTATTTTTTTTTTTTGTTAAAAATCGATTAAAACGATGCCACTTAATTCTTACTGAAAATGAATTTTTCAACATGAAAAATAGATTTCATTTGATTTTACTATTTTAAATCGATTTTTAGTCGAATAATAAAGACCTATTGATTGAAATTGGTTTTTAGAAACTGATCAAGAATGATTAAAATCAAATGATATCTATTCTTGAACCTGACAAATCAGATTCTGACTGGATCCAAATGGTGTCATTTTAATTGACACTTGTTCATAAAAAAATTAATTCTAATCTAATTTATCGATATTTTTTCTTACACAAGTCAGTATTAATTGATGTCTATCTTAACGCCTGCTATACGTGTCAAAGTCTAGGCTAGTGTGATAATCACGATCTGCTAAGCTAGACAGTTCGAAAAAAACAGAGGTTCGAGTTCCTAACTTAAAACCCGAGAAAAACCTGTTTTACGACCACTACCATTTAAATCAAGTGAAAATTAACTAGTTACTCTAATTTTGATTAAATGATGACAATTTCACCTTAATCGATCTTTAGCTAGGAAGAAGTCGACTAGAATCATTTTTTTTTGTCTTGTGTGAGAAATTTACCGTGCAAAACAGAAATAAAGTTCGGGCCGGGTGGCCCGGAAGAATTTGAAGCTCGCCCGGCCCACCGGTCTTCGTTGAGGTGGCCCGCCCGACCCGGAATAAAGACCTTCTCGGGCTGGGCTGGGCTGGGCCGGGCCGACCAAGTCGGGTCACCGGGCCGGGTGGCCCGTTTCGAGCCCTGCTAGAACACTTAATGAATCAGTCATTTACGTTGCTTTTGGTAGTCTTGCTATTCCTTCTTGTGAACATATCAAAGTCTTGTTGGATGGATTTTCCATGGATTCATTCTGTGATTCTCACACAAAAAAACATTCACCTTCTATAAGAGTCTTATGGTCCTTAAGTGGGCTTTCGGTGACAGATTTTCCCTTGGAGATTTCGACTAATATCTTAGGATACAATTTTCGTTTCGAAAAATGGGTACCTCAATTGTCTGTAATTAGCCACGCCTCAGTGGAATTATTTCTGACACATGGCGGAATAGAAAGTATTTATGAAGTGTTATTTGTTGGCAAACCATCTATTATAATTCCATTCTTTGGCGATCAACCTGCACATGCTCGCTTGATCCATGATCGAGGCCTTGGAGATTTCCTAAATAAGGACACTATGACTTGTATAAATTTTTGTAAAACAGTGCACAAACTTATAACCGATTACAGAGATAACTCTTCGCAATCTCTACAAAATGAGTCGTATAATGTATCATAATCTCGACAATTACAAACATATTTATAATGTGTTAGAGATGGAAATGGACGTTGGATCTCAACATTTAATTCCACCATCTGTTTCATGGATCGTTGCTCACGATATAGATATTTGGATAGGATTATTAACAGTAATAGGGGTTTTTATTTCCATGATACGGTTTGTATACAAGAAATTATGCCCCAAGCGAAGAGAAAAAGAAAAAAACAACTAATACACAATGGCGTCGAAAACAAAACTTTCATTCTTCTTCATTGTGATTATCCTTCTTGCCTATCCGATTTTTCTTTCTTTTAGGTTTTTGAAACAAGAACTGTAATAAATACTGCAACATATAGCACAAAGAGTGTGTATGCGTGGGTGCATATGATTACTTACTTCTCCGGCATCCGCAACCTAGTTATAACATAATCAGTTAACTCTTTTTATGTTGATCATATAATCAATATAGAAACTCAATGAATCATTACCTACTATTCTTGACATCTGAAATATAAATTTTCATCTATACAAAAAATCCATAAAAAAGTTTTGTTTTTTTACTTTAGAAAATTAAAATTACCTTTTAACCAGAAGTTTTAGTAACATCAAGACTTTTTTTTAACTCCAGCTTCATCCCATGATCCCATTTCTTCTAGACTGTTTTCAGACCAATGACGTTCATCCTAACAATGTTTTTCATCTTTTTCTCGATCAGATTGAAGACAAACTCTAAAAATTAATAAATAGAGAAAAAGTATTCATTTTTTTAATATCAGTAATTTACGTTACTCGATCTTTTCTTGTGTACGTCGCAGGGTTGCCAAGTCTTCCGCTATTTGCGGAAAGTTTCCACTTTTTGATATGAAAGCTTTTTTCATACGTCTAATTCAGTCCAGAAGAAAACTTGTTCTTACTGAATAAATCGCAATCACTGACGTGTACAGATTTCTATCATGATTATTGATTGATCTGTTAACTCAGAGTGACGGCATTAAAATTTTTTCTATAGAAGAGAGACTCTGCTCTCAATTCCTATTGATGAAGCTAAAACACTATTCTGCTTCCAATTGATAGTAAACTCTGTTTATCTACTTATTTTGCTTGCTTTATTTAAACAAAAAAATCCCAAATCCGAAAATCTAAAATTTTTTTTGTGACCGAGTGATAGTGAGATAGTAAATGAAGATGAAAATAATCATGAAAATATAATAACAACAAAACTAATGCTGCATTGAAGTGAAAATAACCATGTGAAAGCCAGAGAAAATGCTTTTGAAAAGAAGAAGAACTAAGATGAATGTATAGATATTCTCTCCACAGAAACCGTAGCTACACCCACGCATCTACATCCATCCCCCACCGTACATGCACGTCCACATCCTCTAATAATTATACATATAGACATCATTAAATACTGAACTAGAGAGACATGTTACTTAATGATGTCATTGACGAAAAAGAACAATAAATAATGAGAGAAGTACTTGAGCTGTAACTACGCGTCGTTTTGGGCTCAAATTAAGTGCGCAGGAAAGTTTCGGTAAAAACAGCAAAACCTTTAAAAGGCTCGTATCGTAGATTTGCTTTATTGTTCATAGAAAAGTCTGGTGATCCTTGGAATATTCTGAAAGTTTTAGCCGAAAAGAATGTTCCTTTGTTGAAATATTGAATTTTAAGGTAAATTCAATTTTTGTGACATATCGATGACGATAAATTCCACTTTGGTCAAAAAGAAAGGTGCCGATTGATTTAAACATTGAGAGTATGGGTATGATTAAAGAGAAGACTTTAGCGTCTACATCCACATTTATATGCACCGCCTATATTTTGATAATTTTACTTTCGATGGTTCTATTGAAAATTCAATATTTCTGTCGACAAGTGAACATTTTTTACTTCTGAAATTTTCAGAATATTTCCAAATTCATCAGATAATACCAATGGACTAACTTTCAGGTAAAAATTTCTTTATTTGATTTTTCCATACATACCTAACAGTGAGTCGAGAATTCAGTAAAACTATCATAATTCGTCCCCTGAAACTCATAGGCTCGAACTTGTAGTTGGGATGATTTCGTGACTGATTTATTGAGTCTTATTTCCTTTCTGATATGTTTTATGATTTCTCATTACAGCGATTTTGTTTTTATGTTTTTCAAGAATCTCTTCTAATAAGTGCTACATGTTTTGTTGTATTTATTCTATTAGCTTTATTATTATTTGTCGTTGTTATTTCCATTAACTGTTGACTCTCTTTTATAAAATTAACTTCTATGGCGTATTTTAAAATCATGGCATGGTGATATACTTTCAACCATTATTTATCTGAAATTAAAGGAAAAATACATATTCATTTACAAATCTTAATATGACCGTATGGAATATAAAAACTATTAAGCTACTTCGCTCGTATCATTTCAAGTACTTCAAGCACTGCTAATTCATATGCCATATTATCCATTTAATTTATGATCTTGACTACATAAAGTTGTATAAAGTGCATTATTTGAAAGACCTTTTCTAGG